AGTCAGGGACTCTTCAGCTTCCCACACTCTCCAGCGGGGAGGTGCACTAGAAGCTGGGAGGGGACACAGCCAGGACAGCTGATGCAGGCTGGCCAAAAGAATATTCCATGCCATGTAACATCATGCTCAGTATATAAAACTGAAATTGGCCGGGGCGGGGGGGCATGAATCGCTGCTCAGGGACGGGCCATCAATCACCAGATGGTAAGCAATTGTTGCATTGTGCATCACTTGTTTTTGTATGTTCCTTGATCATTATTATTATTATCATTATTATTATCATTATTATTTCCTCTTCCTTTGCTGTCCTATTAAACTGTTTTTATGTCAACCCGCAAGATTTTTGCCAATTCTCTCCCACATTCCACCTGGGGGTAGGGGGGCGACTGAGCAGCTGTGTGGTGCTTACTGGTGCTTACAGTTGCTGGCTGGGGCTAAACCACAACAAACTAGAATATTATACTGATATCACCTTTATTAAACACTGCTGCATTTTGTTAGCACTTTGTGAGTAAAAGAAAATTTGTTAAATACACTAAGAAATAGAAAAAATTTAAAGCCTATTTTCGAATCATTATATCATCATTAATATCATCATCATTACTCAGTTTCATATGTAGCTTTCAAGAAAAGGAAACATTTCAACATTCTATAGGCAGGGCATAAGGCTGTGTTAATCTTGGGCTAAGAAGATACCACAGGATGACCTACCCCAAAATTTGCTTTTGGAAAAAAGAGCTGAACATAAAACATCTCTTAAATGAGGGCTGCCTCACTGATTCTTTCTTTTCAGCTTTGGTAATTTAGAATAATTTTATAACTTCAAAGAGACAACTTAATTTCAATTGATACAGAAACAAAATATTATGGTTTAGAAAAAGAAAAGATACACCAGCCAGTTCAGAAAACAGGACTTGGTCAGGAGTACTTGGTATTAAGCCCTATTAAAGCTGCTGGTTGGCTGTATGGTCTTTGGAAAGTTATTTTCTCCCAAAATAATTTCCTGTCTATGATGCAACGAAGGATCGACAGCGATTACTTGTTTTGTAATGTGTTTGAGGACCTCAAACAAAATTCTATCTAAATGCAAAATATTTCTATTACCATAAAGACATATGATAGAACATAATTACAAAGAAGAAAGATCCAAGCCAGCAAAGCATTTCAGTATATATAGGACTCCAACTGTGTATTTGTATTTTTGTTGAATTAGGATCACAATCATCTACTGCAAATTAAAACCAGTGTTCTTGCACAATTCTTCTTTCTTGAAACTATACCGCAGTGCCTGTCAGCTGATTCAAATTATGGTATCACTTAGATTTTATATACGTATATGAGATCAACATAAATGATGTAGTTTGCTGGACCTAAATTTGAGAAGGAATGAAAGACCCTTGTCTAAAATGAGAAGCTTCAAAATTTCAGTTCAAACTGCTTATTCAGTCCCATGGCACTTATAAAGAGTCTATTTTCAGCACAGAAACTTTTCAAATGCCCAAAGATGTTCTTCTGACCAAAAGCACCTTTTTTTTTGTAATGGTCAGTGACCCAACTACAGTGCCCTATTTAGGGGTTAACCCATTCCTACAAATGAGATTGTCTCTTGATAACAGAATAGTTGAAAACAAACAAGTCAAAAAGAGCAGGCAACAGTGCCCATGACTCTCTTACCAGTAGTTAAGACTCTTAACTTGGAATGAATTGTGAGCTCCAAATCCTGCACCAAGAACTCTACATTAATATTGAAAATATATAGTTCCTGTATTGATTGTACTACATCCACCTCCCTTCCAATGCACATCTGACACTTGCAAAATGCCCCTGTGAGGCAGAAGGTTGAGTAATCCAGTCATTGAGACTCTGGCCTGGCCTTATTGCTGCCAGCTGTGAAGTAAAAGAGAGAATGACCTTAAAGTCCTTTTATGAAGAAAGAATACATCAACTACAACACGAAGAGTTGTATTTCTGAATTCTGAATATGGGGAGTATGTGGTAAAATGCCTAAGGCCATGAGGGAAAGTATTTAAGACTTTTTTTTTTAGAAAGATTGTTATTAGAGGATTACTGAGAGCCTACATGGAGAGAACAAAACCAAATTCTGCTGCTATTCCTTCTGCTAGCTCTTATTTATTTCTATACCAACATTTCTTTCTTTGTGACACTTAGGGACCATAGTAATGGATTAATTCAGTTGGAATTATGATATTATTTACATTTAACTTGAGTTTTACTACAAAGGTTTTATAACTTTCTTCTGTTTAACAATCAATTTTCCCTTAAAAGCAATTTTTCCAGCAGTAATTATGATAAGGCACTGTCTGCCTAAGTAGACAGGAAGATAAAGTTGGTATTTTAAGTCCACAGGCATATTTCAAATTAAAAAAAATAATAAAAAGAGAGATGCAAGGATGACAGAGTTTCATTTCAAATTGCAGTCATGCTAAAAATTAAATTTCTTAATTTTGATAATTTTCAAAAACTGCTGGCATCAAATATTGCCATAATGCAATATTAAATATTTCCACCAGATGTCTCCAATATATTATTTTACACAGAAAGTTACATTTGAGTTACCACACTTCAATTTGAATGCAAGTTTAGCAAAATATTAAAGAAATAAAGCAAGCTGAAACTAAATAGTTATCTGTTTAGACATGGATATATTAGGGCTGTCCTAAATTGTTGTCAGTTCCACAGTGCTACCTAAAGAAACAGCAATTTTTTGTACTAACATTTTGGCCAAGTATGTTTTAAAAAAAAAAAAAAAAGGCACTCATGGCTTTCACTTTTAAGAGGCACATCAGATCATGTCTATATTTTCAGAGCAATATAAGGTTGTAATTGGCATGAATGAGTTTTGGGTTACTAAGAAATATTTTGTTTGTTTGTTTTTAACATCAGAAAGAGTTCACAGATCCAAACTAAAGACGACTGTTTTCAGAACTCGCTCTGATGTAAGCATGCAGTAATCCAGTTACTTATTAATAGCCTTTGTGGATTACTCCCACTCACTACCTTGAAACGTTCACCCAGATTCTGTCAGCCTGAGTCAGTACATAAGCAGCGCTCAACACGTATGAACACAGTGCCAGAAGAGAATTTCAAGGACAAAAGGGAAAATTTGACACTGCTAATTCTCAGACCCACATATCACTGAGTTATGCTTCAAAGGCATCTTTGTTAAAGAACTCCTAAAGAATCTTCTCATTTCTCTGTGCTTCAAAGTAGCACTTGGTGTATTCGATAGACATGACAGAGTGGAAATTTTGCCCTATAATCACTTATATATATGAGCAACTGTACATACATGCACACCTATATTTAACTCAAGAAGCCAAATAATTTTTCTCAAAGTGTATTACACCTGAAAATGAAAGACTCAAAAGTCTCTAAAGGATCAAGGATAGAAGGCACTATTATTTACCAGGGAGCTGAGGATACTATATTGCAAGCAATGTGAGATGGATCGTTGGCTTACAAGAAACACAACTCCATCCTTTCAGGGTTCACACCATATTTTACACAGGTTTATTAGACTGAATTTCACTGAAAGATAGCAGAGTGTATCTCTATTCACAGCAGACAGGATGGGTCAGATAGAAATCAATTACAACCCACCTTCTCAAAATTGGCTTTGGAAAGTATCTTTTGGATACTATTATCCAAAGGGATATTATTTATCTACTATTATTTATTAGTAAAAGATACTAAGGTATCTTTTGGTTCTATTTTCAGAATAATCAACCTATAGTCTCAAATTACTTTAAGATTATGCAGGTGCTCCACAGCACAGGAAACATTTGATTTTGTATATAAAAACTTTCAACTGACAGAACAAAAAGCATACTGATGACAAGTCATGTACTGAGATCTTCAGACAATTCAGTAATATATCATGGCATCTCTGTGTCTTATTTATATGAAAGTAATCTTTCCATAATAGCAGAAACACAGAAATTTCAAATAATCTCTAAGGTCAATGCTAAAGTATAAGTGTTGTGTGCGCTGGTGACAAAAATAGCTCCTTTAAAACAGATAAAAGAAAATTTCTTTCCTTATTTCTATTCAATCCCCTTTGAAAAAATTAATTCCATATACTCAATCCACATTATGGAAACAGACGTCTTAAATTTGTATAACCCAAAAACTCTTCTGAAATAACGTAATATGGATTTAAGCTTTCCCTAACTAATAAACAAATATACTTCAATAAATTCAACTGTTCTAGCAATATTTCAGAAAGAAGTTGGTTATTATAATTTTAGAGTCCGAAGCAAAAATGGCTGGATGTTAAGAAGTTCTGAGCTCACTACCCATGAATCCTGAACTGAGATGAAGTCATGTAACAACACTGTCCAAGAATGCAGTGTACAGATACGGAAGATTTTTTTGGGGGGGAGGGGGACAATGGGGGAGTGGGGAAGGGGGTAAGGGGGGAGCAGGAAGAGGAGCATCACTCTGCATTTTCTGAGGCAATGTAATGTGATACGTAACCCGCTATCATAAAAAGTGCTACAATAAAGATGTAAAGTACATCTTTATTGTATTTACAAAGATGGTTGGACTGCATCTGTCCAGAGAGTAAAAGACTACTTTTCCCCTCAATTATATAATTTGTCTAACACAGCAGAGCTTATAAATATTTATTATTAGGAAAACACCTAGGGTATTTTTCCTTTCTTTATATTTATTTTGCATGCTGAATCAACTCACATTAAGTTCTTATGAATAGCCAGGCCACCACAGAAGGGGCATATGAATCTATGTGGTTCACTACCTGGTAACAATGCACATAAACAGTGTATTTATTAGACAATCCCTCTATAGAGGAAAAAACCCACACAGTATATCCAAAGTAAGATCTGTTAAATCAAAAGACCTTGTACAAGGCAGTGCACAAGAAAAACTAATTTCTAGTACCTTTGTAAAGGTCAACTCCAGTTTTTATTGCAGTTTACTTTCATTTGTGTCCCTTAATTTGAAGGGTTGTACAGTACCTGTCCAGTATATGCAAAGTCCAGGGCTTGTTTTAAACCAAGGCTTGTGACACCATGCAAATTCACCTCATCAGCTTCGCTTTCAACCATGCAGAGACTGAACATTGCCTACAGAAAGAAAAGAAATGTTATTAACCATTAAAAACAAGCCCCAGTGAAAGTCCAGGAAGAAAATGATTCATTTTTCTACCTTCACTAGCCTTTGTTTTTCCCTGGATAAGAATTGTAAATAGCAACAGACTTGCAAGTTAGAATGAAATCTATACCAAGTTTTCAATATTAACCACATAGCAATCAATCTTGCAAATTAATACTTCTATCAGTTAAAAAAATACAAAAAAATATTCTGGAAAAATGGAAAAAAAATCCCTTTCATTCACGTATATATACGTCCTAATTAATTAATTCTGGTGCAATCAATGGAAACAGTCAGACAATAAGGTATCATTCAACAAAAAAATGATAAAGAACTGTACCCTGGAAAAAAAAATTCTACACAAGCACCACTAGAAACAATACTTACGTATGGTATCATTATACATAGGAAGGAACAATAAGCTCTACACAGTTACTTGTATGTGAAGAAGGGGCAGTTAACACACCATCTTTTATAAGCAATCCTTTCCAAATAAGCACCTCAGATTGGAATGCGAACAGAATAATACTCAAGTCATTGAATGAGGAGCAAGGATGGAGATGCAGTCACCTGAACTTAGAACCTCCCCTTACTTGTTATTGCCCTCGTTTCTCAGATCATAAAACCTAAACTGAAGATTAGCAAGGTGCTCTGGAACTTCCCCGAAAATAACACTGAAGAGAGCAACTGTCCCTTTCACCCAGTCTTACTTTCCAGATCAGCAGTCTCCAGTGCCTCCCTTGAACAGAAGCAACCCTACTCAGACTTTAGATCCTTGTAGGAATCTTTTTCTTCCCACCCATTAAAACTAGACTCCTGTCTTTGCCCCTCACTCTTCCCTCCCAGACTGTATTCCCGCTGCAGTATAGCTACTTACCACTCCTTCCCTCCTCTTATCACTCCCATTCTCCAGTCCAATACTTTTCCAGAAAAGCAACCTTTATCTTTGTCACTCTCCCACGTTTTTTAACAAAATATACCACTCTCAGTCTTTAGACAGTAAACTGTGAACAAATAAACTCAGCAGTTCTACCATCTGTCATTTCTAAAGAGAGTCTAAACTTATCCCCAGTATGTCTTGTGCCAAACTGTGTACTCCCTCTGCAGAGGCTACCAAACTTCACCTTGGAGAACCCCAGTAAAGGAGCAGTTCTTAGGAATATACCCTCTGCTACTTCTGTCTGTACTGTGGCTGATACCTGCAGAAGCTGAGGCAGTCAACAAGAACGCTGATTTTCACATGTGCAACCTGTCCACCAAGCACTGTTGAGTTGAAAGGAAAAATAAGCCCTACCCCTTCTAACAGTTTATCACGTCGCGTTCACCTAGACCCAGGTGGCTTCTTTCCAGAACTGAGTGTTTCCTGCAAATAAGTAATTTCTTCTGAAAGTGTTAGCATTTTCATCATTAAACTGCCATAATTTGACATAAATCTGTTGCCTGGAAATCATCCAGTATAAGCAAGAGTGACATTTATCACATGGTCACTCCTTGTACTTCGCAATTTCTGTTTCAGTAAAGTGTTATCAGGGCTTCTTCCAAACTGGCAACAGAAAAGAAGCATCACAAAGTTTAAAATGCTTATCAAACAAATGTAATAAGACACAGATATGAAATATACCTAGATAGAAAAAAAAAATTCCTAACAAGTCATGACACTCTTCTAATTCCATTAAAAATGTAATCAGAGTTGGACATTTCATTGTCACTTAGATGTATCAAATGAGGTATAACAACTGTTGTGAGGCTTCAGGGCTTGCCAGGAGCTGCAAGGTACCCATGAGCCACCACCCACTCCTTGCAAAAGCAGACCCGCAGTTTGTGTCTGGAAGTGACAAGCTTCTCTTCTCAGAAATTCACTACTAAATAGAGTTTTTCGATAACACTCCCTTCCCCATATCAATTCCTGAATAAAGAGAGTAAAGTCTCAAAGCAACACCTGTCTACATAGCTCCTACAAAGATAGATTTGCACACATTCTGTACACTGAGTTCCGTCACAGAGCACCCGCAGAAAGGCTGGAAATGCTCAGCGATACAAGATCCTGCATGCTCTGCATTCTCTGACTGCTACAGCAGCTATCGGTATACTACCTAGCCTGTACACAGGAACAATCAAAAAAGTGTGGCTACTAATTTATAGTTTCTGATATTACTAATATAGTAACAATAGTTTATAGTAAATGTAAGTATTTACTAACTAAAATAAATATAGTCTAATATAGTTTCTAATATTACTAATTTAATAGTTTGTATTCTGATCAAGGGCTGGATGTCCCACACAATGGGTTAAGCTTACAGATACAAAGAAACTGAATCTCATCTATACACCATGAATCACTTCTATGAAGACCCATGAGAGTTTTTCTTTGTAGACTTACTAAATTACCTTTAGAAAACTATTCTATTGTTTCACAGAGATTCCAACATGGTCCTTACACAGGGTTTATTACTACACCTACCTTAGTAAACTCAGCAAGATCCAGCTGCTAACTCAATTCATTGTCCATAGTCACCCACAGCGTTTAATGAACGCAGCCTCCAGCACAGCTCTGAGCCCCTGCCAACTAGCAGTGCCCCCGGCAATGCCCAGACTGTGGTTCAGGGGGTAACTCAAAAGCCATGTTTCAAGCAGACAGCACAGATAAAGCCGACCTGTTTGCAGAGCAGAGAAGGTTTAGCCATATGGACACAAGCCATGTTGTGCCAGTTGCTTTTAGGGCCGGAAAACAAGCCCTTATGCATCTTGTTTACTAGTACAGGCATAGACTAAGAGTGCAATGGGCTATCGGAAGTGTAGCTGCCAACTACGGCTTTGCGTGCCATCTGCTCATACTATGCTCCGCGTATTCTGTGGAAGTTTTTGATACCGAGTATGAACTACATCTGTTTTTCAGGAGGCAAGCCAAAGAATGTAATCAAAAGATAAGGTCTGCAATGGTCCTCAGACAACTCACATTCAGCTGAACTGGATTGGCCTACAGGAAAGTAGTTTCCCACACAGACGAACCTAGTACACTGCCTTCACTAGCAGGCAAATTTCCTCCTCAGCCTGATAGCGTAAAGGTTTAATCCAGCATGAAAACAAGTCTGTTCAATCATAGGCAGAAATTGAGCTCAAACTCAGTTTTTAATTTGCAGTGCTGTATTTGAATATTATAATTTTAACTGTAGAAACATATGGATCATTAAATTCTGGTTTGAGACTTCACCAGTACCTGGAGAATCAATTACAGTTGGGCTGTCAAACTCTGAGTTCAGATGCATTTCTGAAAATGCTCTGAAGTTTTGTGAGCTTAAATAGATCTACTAGTCATGCTTTTAATGCAAGGCTAGTAGCCTACTTCATTTTTCCCTGGTGTACATTAAAAACAAGGCAATAAGATAAACATTTCAGGTGGACATACAAGTGACAGACAAGAAAAACAATTAAAGATAAAATATTTGGACAAGTGCACAATTCAAAGTCAAACTTACTCAAAGTTACCAAATTTGGCTAAGCATGAAATGTTAATTATTTTTTGCTATTAACTTCCTTCAACAATGCTAATATTTCATACTTAATTTTAAAATACCTCTGCTTGGACAAAATGAAGTGTTCTTTGAAAATGCCTCATTTCTCCTCCAAGACCTTAATGAGAGTGGGCAGTACAAGTTGCCAATGCGTTAAACAAAGATCCCTTTATATAATAAAACCCCCTAGTGAGAGGACACATCTTTTCTTCCAGTTCCTTTAAATATCCAGGTCTTGTTCTGCCATCCAATCAGTCAATGAGCCAACACTGTGGGCAATAAAGTGATTGTTTAAATTCTGCTGTTTTAGTCAAGATTTTAACTAAGTAAACCAATTCCCCTCCAAAAAAGTAAACACAATCAAAAATTCAGGGATCAAAATCCTATCACAAATGGATATATTCCATTTGTGGAATTCCACCTGAGCTCGCATTGTTTAAGAAGCTACAAATTAGGATGGCCTCATGTTTGTGGAGGAGGCTAACACTTCATTAACTGTGAAAAGAGGATGAAGGAAGGAAGGAATCAACCCTCCATTCTTCTAATCTTGGCCTGAAACAGAAACAGAGCTAGAGAACTATTCTCAAAGGAAAAAAAGAAAACAAAGCACACAACCCTTGGATAAAAATAATCAGACCATAAAGCAATTCTCAGACTCTTGAAAATTTGACTTCAAAGTAATGTGGCTTGTTGGTCGGTGTTTAATACACTGCACACTTGCATGCAGTCTCACTACTTTGCCCTCATTAGCCAAAGGCACCTTTCTAAAATGACTTCTTCTGCAAACATAGAACACAAAAGACAACAAGAGCTGAAAACTGAACGGCACACAACAGGGTGACTAGGCTCTGATGTGATCAGATCTGATCTAACTGCGCAGAACAGCCTGAGTATAAGATGCTTAGCACAGTCATTGTGTTTAACTTTCCATGCTCAGGTTTTATTGCTGCTTAGCTTTCAAAAGCAAAATGCAAGATGGGTGTAAACCACCACCAAATCAGAATAATGTATTACTGTTAAAATAAATATAAATGAGACAAAAAAATGTCTAGATACATTTATTTTCTCACTGCAGCACTGCAGCAACATGTACAGACTCCTTCACAACATACAACTTTAAGAACAGACACCAGGGTCACAGAAACACAAAATTATATTCAAAATCCCCAAAATACAAATTGCTCACTGTCACAACGGTGAGGTACAAAATTGCTCCTTGCCTTTGAATAATTTTCTTACTTAGATGATCCATACCCATGAAAGTAATGAGCTTGTCCTCATTTGTACACATCAATCTTACAGCCATGTCAGGCATAAGAAGCAGTAAATCATCACAAAACAACTAAGTTGTATGATATTTTACACAGGTAAACTCTTTCAGTGAATTCCACACAACTTAGTGGCCTTTTAAAGGCAAGAAACAGAATCATAAAACATACGCAGCCTCAGAAGACAGGTAA